CTCAAACTCCTGACCTCAAGTGATCCGCCCGCTTCGGCCTCCCAAAGTGCTGGGATTACAGGCGTGAGCCACTGTGCCCAGCCAGTTATATGTATTTAAAAGTACCACTGGTGCACACATCCATGCAAATATTTGTGGCACTCATATAAAGCTAATTGAAGAGTGGTAAATAGTAGTGTACTGGGGTGGCACAAACCTTGAGAATGGAGCAGGCTAACTTCTGATTTCTTACCAACCTGACGAGTATATTCTGGGGTTGAATTTGGATTTAGGAACTTCCTCCTCATTCAGATTTCTGTATCTTTGCTGTACACTTTGCCTTCTCTCAAAGATTAGGTGATGGAAGCTGCCCATTCTTCATCACCCTTTGCTATTCACTCCCAGTTTAATTTCTAGGAAGGTGGGTTATTTTTATTTTTTTTTTTGAAGTAATATCAGTCTGGTCAGTCAGGGGTTTCATGGAATAAAATGTCTTAATTAGAATATTTAGGGTTGTATCATTGAGGGCATGTGCTATACTCTGTATCTTAGTCAAAAGTAATTTTTGTTTGAAAAATTTAAGATTACAAAGTACATAATGAGTATTTTATGATAACAGTAAACAATATGAACATTTAGAATTTTGTTTTTGAAAATTTATATACGATTGTACAAAGATTCATCAAAATCCAACACAGCATTTATAAAAGGAACAGTTACAGTTTTATTATTTATGTAAAACATTTGTGTTTCTTTTTTCATGTCTAAAAGTTATTGTAATTCTCTGTGGTAAAAGATACTGGTTCCCAATACATATCAGTAATGGAGAATGGACAATTTAAACTTCCACACACTTCAACTGAATTCTAGAATGATTTTTTAATTTTTTAAGATTCCTTTTCCTCAAATTTTTCCCATAGTTGTTAACTTATTACTTTGTTAGCACTTACATTTCTCTTCAATGTTTTTTGAAACATAAAAGTGGTGGTATATAAAGTTGTTGCTGCACATACAGGAGAAGCATGTTGAGGTGTGCAGAGGCAGCGCCGCATCCTATTTTCTGACCTCCTTGCTGGAGTATTAAATTTCTAATGTCATGCATATGTAGAGGAAAACAAGCTTTTGTATTTAAAATATTTAGTGGTAAATTACAATGTTATTTTTAAAACTCTAATTTTGATTGCTTCATGCAAGGCATGAAGTATTTCAAGTTCTTTTTAGTATGCTTTAAAAAGTTAACTATATTTTGTTGTATTATAGTAAAGGTAATGGAATAATTTAGATTTTATCATTTTGCAATTAGTCTTTCTTTTTAATGACAGCCTGTTTTTAGGGTGAAACTTATTGGTATCAATTCTCTCTATTAAGGACCTCGAGCTATGATAGAAGGCCCTTCGTTGCACTCTGTCTTTCCAATGTGGCTTTTATGCTTCCCTGGCAATTTGCTCAGTTTATACTTTTTACACAGGTAAGATGATTTTTTAAATTAATTTTTATTTTTATTTTAAGTTCTGGGGTACATGTGCAGGATGTACAGATTTGTTACATAGGTAAATGTATGCCATGGTGGTTTTTGCACCTATCAACCCATTACCTAGGTATTAAGCCCAGCATGCATTAGCTGTTTTTCCTAATGCTCTCCCCACCCCATCCCCCGACAGGCCCCAGCATGTGTTGTTCCCCTCCCTGTGTCCATGTATTCTCATTGTTCAGCAACCACTTATAAGTGAGAACATGTGGTGTTTGGTTTTCTGTTCCTGTTGCTGAGGCTAATGGCCTCCAGCTCCATTCATGTCCCTGCAAAGGACCTGATCTCGTTCCTTTTTATGGCTGCATAGTATTCCATGGTGTATATGTACCACATTCTCTTTATCCAGTCTGTCACTGATGGGCATTTGTGTTAATTCCATGTCTTTGCTAATATCAATAGTGCTGCAACGAACACATGTATCTTTGTAATAGAATGATTTATATTCCTTTGGGTATATTAATTAAGTTGAATGCAAGATGTCCTTGGTTGTTTCCATAGAAATTTTTAAATATGGTTACATTTATGCCCTAAAAGATTTTCAAAATAGGGAATAAAGTTTACATAAAGGTATGATTTTTATGAAATAATATAATTCCACATTCTTTTACTGTATTAGTTAGTTTGACAGATTTTAAGGCTCAACATGTGAAAGAGTTTTTCTATTATTTTTATTCACAAATGTTATTTTTGGTGTTTGAGATATTATCTGTATATATCTACCTATAGATTTTCCTTTTGTCTTGGGAATCATTCTGGGTGCCAAGCTACACAGCATGCTAAGGGCCAATCCTACTCTTCACAGCAGGACGTTCTGCTTCTAATCCAGCTAAATGTTGGCTGTTTTGACTGTGGAGCAGAATTTTACCTGGCAGCATTTCTATGAGCTTTAATCATAAAGCTCATCATTGCTTAAGTGAGCTGAGCCCATATCCTGTTTCTAAAGCAACTACGTAACTAGTACCAAGAAACTGAACTGGGGAAGCAGAGAGTAAATGGAGAATTTTGAGGAAATTTCATGATACTAAGATTTTCCATCAGAGCTCCTTCCTGCATAATAAATACTGATGATGATAATAATACTCTATATTGGAAGTGAGAAATTCTGCCAAGAAGTCTTATGCTGCCAATAGCCTACAAAGAATGAAATTTTAACCCCAGCTTAGTTGGTGCTGCATGTTTAAAGTATTCACTCCACTTTACTTCATAATAGTTGGCTCCTTTCAGGTTATAACATGGACATTATTCTATGGTTTTCATTATTTGCAAATGCCAACAGAGTAGAATCGATTTTTAATGAGCAGCACTTCATTGCAAGCACATTTATTAATCCAGTGGTACTGATGAAACTAAGCAGCTCTTTGGGGCCAGGCACGATGGCTCATGCCTGTAATCCCAGAACTTTGGGAGGCTGAGGCAGGTAGATCGTGAGGTCAGGAGTTCAAGATCATCCTGGCCAAGATGGTGAAACCACGTCTCTACTAAAAATACAAAAAAATTAGCCGGGTGTGGCGGCAGGCTCTTGTAATCTCAGCTACTTGGGAGGCTGAGGCAGAGAATTGCTTGAACCTGGGAGGTAGATGTTGCAGTGGGCTGAGATCGCGCCACTGCACTCCATCCTGGGTGACAGAGTGAGACTCAGTTCCAAAAAAAAAAAAAAAAGCTCTTTGGGTAAGTTTGATATTGCTGTAATGATTTTCTAGCCATTCTCTGGATATATACTAGGCTTTTATTTTTCTTTACTAATGTATATAGTTTTGTTTGTATTTGTACATTTCATGCTTACAGAGGGATAATTCAATGTTATTTTCTGGGTGTACTTTAAGATTTTATTCTTAATTGTGTTTTTCATAGATTAAGGTTAAACTTAGTTCATTGTGCCACCACATCTGGCTAATTTTTAAATTTTTTGTAGAGATGAGGTAGCACCATCTTGCCCAGGCTGCTCTTGAACTCCTGGGCTCAAGCAGTCCTCCTATCTGGGCCTCCCAAAATGCTGGGATTATAGGCGTGAGCCACCATGCCTAGCTTAATTTTTTTTATGACTTCTGTGCTCTCCTGGAATTTTCAATCCTATCAGTTATTTCCTTGAACATTTGAAGCATAGTTTAAAGACATATCTGATTGCACCAGACAAGTGTTTGAGTGATCTCCAAGCTAAGAATAGTTTTTATATATTTAAAGGGATATAGAACAAAAATAGAAAAAGAATATACAAGAGACTGTATGTGACCAACAAAGCATAACATATTTATTATCTGGCCTTTTATATAACAAATGTGCTGATCCCTGATCTAAATCTTTTGTGGATCTGTTTCTGTTGTGTTAGTGATAGTGTCTTATCTTCATCTATGCTGGGTTATTTTTGATTTGGTGCTGGACATTATACATGAAAAATTGGAGAGGCAAGTCAAAAGCACTAATAAATCTTGAACCACCTTCATGCAATCAGATTGAGATGATACATAGATGGGTTTCAGTCTTTCTGAGGGCTGCTTGATTTCTGGTTCACTATTATAGTATGGCCTTTTGAAACTCCAAGCTAAAGCACCCTTCTTGGTGCACTCTGACTGCTGAATCTGCTGAAATGCCTGCTCAGCTTGCTGGTCTCCCAGCTGCCTCTCAGCTGGCAGGCGTCTGCCTCTGTTGAAATTGGCAGATACCTGTGGGAGAAAAGTGGCCCAAAACGTCACGCTCATCACTATAGATTGCCATCTATCTTTTTAATTCCTCACTTGCTTTGTTAATAATCTGTGGCTTTTATACATATTTTAAAAATGTTTTTATTTATATATTTACATTTTTCCTACACATTCTAGTTCTTAGTGGGAAGGTTGGTTCAAATTCCTTTGCTTAACATTATTAGCAATGTAGCCCTCCTCTTATATTTACTTTGCCTATGAATAGTAAAGTGTTAGCTTTCTATACTTTTTTTCACTTTTGCTTTTTTGTATTATTTCAGATAGCATCATTATTTCCCATGTATGTTGTGGGATACATTGAACCAAGCAAATTTCAGAAGATCATTTATGTGAACATGGTAACATTTTTAATATATATAAGTCAAATGTTAAGATAGGTCCTCAGAGTTTATAAAATCGAAGTGATTCTGTTTTATAGGGTACCTCCTCTTTGGTAACATTTAATACATATGGTACTGGTGATATCCAGAAGGAAAACTGGAAATGTATATTATAGATGTCGTATTATAATAGATTATACTTTCAACTAGACTATAGATGTGTTTTATTCTCTAAAACGTTTATGTTTTATTTATTATTATTATTACTACTTTTAAAACTGCCTTTTCTTTCTCAGACATGAGATTTTAGCATTTTGCCTGAATGACACTCTAACTGAAATTTTATATTCTTGCAATTTTGTTTTTGGCTTAGGTCCCAAACATAGCTTCCTTAAAAATATAAAAAGTTAGCAAAGCTTCATAAATAATAGAAGTCCTGAAGTCTAACAAAAATAAGATTAGTAAAACTAGTATTTATAACTTAAGTCTTGTTATATTACTCCATTGTTAAAACAATAGAAATCATAGACTTATTTTTCATTGTTCCAAGTAGCCGATGGAGAAAAAGTGAAATTCTGCCAGATAGAGTTTATAGTCTTGAATTTTAATACTTACAATCTAGCAGTGACTTGAAATTCTATTATCATTTGGCCAAGAGTTATTCATCTTTATGCCTGTAATCCCAGCACTTTGGGAGGCCGAGACGGGCGGATCACGAGGTCAGGAGATCTAGACTATCCTGGCTAACCCGGTGAAACCCCGTCTCTACTAAAAAATACAAAAAATTAGCCGGGCGAGGTGGCGGGCTCCTGTAGTCCCAGCTACTCGGGAGGCTGAGGCAGGAGAATGGTGTAAACCTGGGAGGCGGAGCTTGCAGTGAGCTGAGATCCAGCCACTGCACTCCAGCCTGGGCAACAGAGCAAGACTCCGTCTCAAAAAAAAAAAAAAAAAAAATGGCTATATACCTACAAAATATGCATTATGCCAATATATGTAATAACCATAAAATGTATTTTTTCACTTTTTTTTCAGATTTCAGTTATTCTTAGTTTCATTTTGATGTTTGGAAATTCAATGTACTTATCTTCTTATTATTCTTCATCTTTATTAATGACGTGGGTAAGTGTTTAGTTCATGAAGTTGGGTTTTTTTTTAACCTACCAAATAGCATGTTTTCCTGTCTAAAACAGGTATAAGAGAATAAATAGGCCCTTTCCTGATTATCATTCAACATGACACAGTTCTTCCCAAGCAAACCTTTTTATCTGTCTTATCCTTGAAAAATATTATAGTAGGAAGTTTTTCTTTTTAAGACAATGCCCAAGTAAATATTTAAAAATTATCATAAAATAATAAAGACTTACTTTAATCATATCCCATTTTATGATAAAAATGACTTCTTTTCTCCTAAGTCACTTGAGGAGGTTAAGTACTCATTGCAGTGACACTGCCACTGCCCAAAACATTTTTGGAACTCCTCTGAGTTTCCTTCACAGATACGGCACATTCTTTAGAATGTCTTCACTGGTGGCAAATCTTTGCCTTTCAAGAGTGGATCTGATTTTTGGAAATGACCAAACTTTTGTGAATATTTTGCGTGATTGGGCTGGGTAATACAGACCTTACTCAAATGATGGTGTGACAATAAAGTCATAAGACCGATTATTTTGCACCTATAACTAAATTATTTCTGAAGGCAGTTTAGAAAGTGTAGTTCCAAACTACTTTGATCAATGGCAAGATAATTAGAATAAGTGTGTAGTCTGCTCACAGGAACTACATGGAATGACATTTTTTGGATATGTGTTTGGAAGGGTGGTTTAGTAAATCAGTTCTATTACATTGTAGTTATACTTCTGATATCTATAAGCTAGAGCCTAGAATATTCTCCTGTACCTCCCATCTCCACATTGATCAGAAATGATACCAACTACAGTAACGCCAAAATATAGCCCTTTTCCATGTATGGTGCAGTGGTTTAATCTTTTGGTATTTCCCTTATGTTTTAACATTTTTGCTTTTCATATCATTTTTCCCTCATAGTAATTCCTCCTTTTTCTCTCCCAGAAAAAATGCTCTTTCTTTCCAACATTTTGTCAAACTATTTCACCATTACAGAGTAGAGGACTCCTAATAGTGTGCTTATCTACCTCTTTTAATGAAAACTTTTTAATTTTGAAATATAGTACAGATAAAAACTACATAAAGCAAATGTTTTGTGTGCTGAATTAGTGCTGGCTAATACTGATGAGTACAATCTCCCCTCAGTGTCTGCAGGGATTGATTCCAGGACATCCCCAACCCCTGTGGATACTAAAATCTGCAGATGTTGAAGTTTCTTATGTAAAATGGTGTGTTATTTGCATATAACCTATGCCCATCTTCCTATGTACTTTAAATCATCTCTAGATTACTCTTGACATCTAATTCAATATAAATACTATGCAAATAGTTGTGTACTGTATTGTTTTTTCATTTGTACTTTTTAAACTGTTGTATTATTATTATTTCAAATATTTTCTTTCTGCCGTTGGTTGAATCTGTAGCAATTGGAACCCATGGATGTGGAGGGCTGACTGTGTTATGTATTATGTGGCCAACATTCTTAAACTACCATTATATCAAAATTATAATTTTCTAAATGAGTGTAAAAGCCCTCCATGTAGCCTGTCCCAAAGCACTCCCTTGTACTGCCCTAAAACAATAATGACTGTGTTGATTGCTATGATAGTAACTTTCCAGCATTCCTTTTTAGTTTCATCACTTAAGTTTCTCTTTTTAGCTACAAGTTTCCTGCATATCTGCCTGGTTTTATCCTCATGAAATTTATTTGTTGAAGAACCAGAGTCAGAATATGTGGAGGATTTCATGGTCCAGATTTTGCTTTTTGAGTTCTTGTGGTGTAGCTAAGCATGTTCCTTTGTCTCATGGCATAGCTTAATATATTAGAAACTGGATCTGAAACTTGGATTGCTTCAGGCTTGATTACTTTGGCAAGTCTACAGTATTGTTCTTTCATTAAAAGGCATATAATGTCTCTCTTTATGATACTAGACTTCAGTGCCTTATGATGGATCTGTTAATTCAATAGGGATTGCAAAGTGGTCACATTCCAATCCGTCGTCTAGAGTTCATTTAGGAAAAGTTAAGTAAGTGTTGATTTACCTCTTTATTTGCAAATTTTAAAAATAATGAATTGATTCCCTGTCATCTTCCAAATGTGGGCTCTTTGGGCTGTGTATGTGTGTGTTTAAGTTTCATTTGGAACATAGGGATTTAAACATTTTTGATGTATTTCAAGTTAATTGAAATTATTATCTTTCCTCATTCTCAGATTGTTTCACTGTTGACCAGGGGAGCCTCTTTAGGGTTCTCCTGAGTTCTCTGACGTGACCCTGGTGGTCTGATAGCACACTTGTGTCATGTATGACAAGTTCTTCCAGGTCTCTCTTGTGGACTTCTGCCCAAACCCTGGAGGAAGCCATTCCTGCAAGACACCCTCCTCGCCTTCACTGGGGAAACGGTGTTTTAAGACCGCAGTCTGGGACCCAAGGATACTCACTGCAACTGAGTAGGTCATTGTTTCTAGGCCTTCTTAGTGGACAGAGGTAGGAAATATCATAGGGTGTAGGCTCTCTCTCTTTCTTTATCTATCTTGCATGTATGTGTGTGTGTGTGTATGTGTGTGTGTGCATGCATTTATGGTAAACTAGCTCACAAGTTCTGATGGATATTTCCAAATCAAATTCAAGAATATAGGGTTTTTACTTAACTCTTTTTTGTTTGTTTGTTTCTCTTGGGTCTCAAGAAGCCAGGGCATGATAGAATATCACATATCCAGTTGCCTTCTCCCAAAGTGTATGCATGAGAATTGCTATACTGCATTACGCACATGATTATGAGAAATAAAGATTTTTTTGCATATCCTTCTTTCATTCTCTTCACCCATTTTTTTAAATTCTGTATCTATATTGTCAGAACATAGAGTACTGCATACTGTACTTTCTGCCTTATTAACCTTATTTCATGTTTTTATGTGAACTAATACATATTTATTTATCAGCAGTCTTTATGCCGTTATCTCCTAGTTATCTTGGTTATTTTAGTCTTGTTCTACAAGAGAGTTCCTTCAATTCTGATGTGTTTGTCACAGTTTGTTTTGTCACCTTTTACTTGAAAGTTAAGTTGGCTCTGTGTAAAATTTTTGTCTCTTTCACTTTTACTTTTTCTTTCTTTCTTTCTTTTTTTTTTTTTTTGAGACGGAGTTTTACTCTTGTTGCCCAGGCTGGAGTGCAATGGTGCCATCCTGACTCACTGCAACCTCCAACTCCTGGTTTCAAGAGATTCTCTTGCCTCAGCCTCCTGAGTAGCTGGGATTATAGGTGCCCGCCACCATGCCCAGCTAATTTTTGTAGTTTTAGTAGAGATGGGGTTTCACCATGTTGGCCAGGCTGGTCTCAAACTCCTGACCTCAGGTGATCTGCCCGCCTCTGCCTCCCAAAGTACTGGGATTACAGGTATGAGCCACCATGCCCAGCTGTCTCTTTGAGTACTTGTTTTACTTCTGTCCAAAAGGGTTGCTAAATAAAAGTGTTAGAAGTTTTGATACGTTATAAACGTATCACTTTCTCTTGAATACTTTTTATCTTATTTCTTTTTTTATTTCTAAAAGTTTCTTCTCCTCACCTTTCATAGCTCTTAAGGCACTATTATGATGATCATTTCCTCATATTCCTTCTAGCTTTTTGTATCTGAAATTATTTTTGTTTTAATTCAAATTCTTTGATTTCTGTCAGCTCATTTCTCAGTTTTTCTAATTTTGATTTGTGTCATTCTTTCACATATTTTAGTATTTTTAAATGTCTTATTTTAAATGGCTCATTTTGAAATGTAAGTTTTGTTTAATTATTCAGTCTTTCATCCTTAAGTAACGGTGTTAGCCATAGGATTTTTCAGAGAAGCCCTTTATCAGGTTGAAGAAGTTCCCTTCTGTTCAGTTTGCTGAGTTTTTTCAA